CTACTTCCGTAGTGATACTGCCTCGGAAACCCAAGAGGTGTCGCTATGAGTCGGGGCCGACTCAACGGCACATAACAACAACAACAACAATAGTTCAAATGAAGGAAATAGATCCATACAGATCATCAAGAACAGAGAGAACTCAGAAATACTGGGTAAAAAACTCAAATTGCAGAATAGGTATATTTTTATCTAAAATGTATATGTATATGAACTGTTCATTGATCTGTATGATAGTAAAACATAAAAGACAGCAAGTATACACAAATTTTATGATACTGATTGCATTTGGGGAGAATTTGGTAATGGGATTATGGAGGGGAGCAAAGTGTCTTTAATCATATCTGTAATGTTTTATTTCTTTAACTTTATTAAAATATAGAAACAAAACTGATAAAATATACTTTCCTATTTTTAAATTTTTCATTTTTTTCCTATTTTTCATTTTTCAAAATTTAAAATGGTGAGCCAGTTGTTCAGTATCAGCTGCAATGATATTTTTCTGGAATTCTGATATTTTGATGTTCTATGCTACTTAAAAAAATTGATGTCCTATGTTATAAAGAACCAAGGAGCTCTGGTGGTATAGCGGGTAAGGCATTAGGCTGCTAACCAAAAGGTCAGTGGTTTGAACCCACCAGCTGCTCCACACAAGAAAGATAACGCAGCCTGCTTCCGTAAAGATTTACAGCCTTGGAAACCCAACGGGTGCCGCTGTGAGTCGGAATCAACCTTATGGCAGTGAGTTTGAGTTTATGCTACTTTTTAGTACCAAAATACCAATGTAAAACTGATATTTCTTTTAAAAAAAAAATCTGAAATGTGATTCATTTACATTTATAGGCGGAGCCATGATATTATGTACTGCAATAAGCTTTTTACTTCCACTTATTTAGAAGGTACAGCAGTGCTGAGGCTAGCAGAGATAACATTGTCCGTGGTGTAAAAAGTATGGATTTTATTTTAGTTACGATGAAAAGCCATTGGAGTGTGTTAAGCAGGAGAGTGATGAATTCGAATTTGTTCTTTATAAAAAGATCACTTTGGCTGCTGAGTAGAAAACTGACTCTTGGGGAAGGATAGCCAGAATAGAATAAAGGGAATTATTTGAGACACCATCACAATACTTCAGTCAGAGATGGTCAGGAGTCATTAGAGTGTGGTACTAACAGTTGAGATGGTGAGAACTGCAAGCATTTGGGGTATATTCTAGAAGTATATGCTGATAGTTTGGGGGTAAGTGTATCAAGGAACAAATACTTATTTGATAAATCCAGTAAATGATTGATATCATTTACTGAAATACAGTCATGCCCAGATATAAGTTCAGATATCCTTGTTCTCTAAGACCAGGGTGTGAAGGCCTGTACACACATTCTACGCACTAGAAAGTCAGCTGCCTTGCCCTTAATTTCTTTTCAATTACTGAGCAACTAACTGCTGAGTTAGTTCAGTTACATACTGGGTCTCTTTCTCTCTGTGTTCTCCCTGCACTATACTGTGTTAACCCAGAAAGCTCGCTCACTTGCTCGCTCTCTTTTTGCTTTACACAAAATGAAAGATCTCAGCCTGGGTTGAAGAATGAAGGTGAAGAATCTCACCTGTGATTTTTAGATTGTGTCATTCTCAACTTTATATCGTCCAGAATTCCTTTAAGTCTTGTCCACTGCTGATAACTTACCCTGTTCTCCATGCCACTCTGGACTTAGTCTCATTATTATATATCTGCGGCTGTTTTAGGAGCACTGGTTGCATAGTGGTTAAGGCATATGGTTGCTAACCAAAAGGTTGATGGTTCAAACCCACCATCCACTCTGAGGGAGAGAGATGAGACATTCTGCTTCTGTAAAGGTTTACAGCCTTAAAATCCTACAGGGCAGTTCTACTCTATCGTGTAGGGTAGATATGAGTTGGAATCAACTCAATGGCAGGAGGACTGCTGTTTTGAGTCCATGGGTTGTACTGATGGCTACTTGCTCAACTACTAGGGTGGCAGTCTGAACCTACCCAGGGGAGCCTCAGAAGACAGGCCTGGCAATCTGCTTTGGCAAAGTCACAGCCTTGAAAACCCTGTGGAGCAGTTCCACTCTGCACACATGGGTTTGCCATGACTCAGAATCTACTCAATGGCAACTAGCAACAGCAAAACTGCGGCTTCAGCGGGATTGGGGAAGGAAACAGAGATTGGCTCCTGCAGCACAAGCTGTTCTCTAAATTATCAAAATGCTTGTCCTATGATCAAGTGATTCCATTTCCAGGATGAAGCTTGTGGCAAATTATAGTTTACAAAGATGACCACAACTGTATCTCCCATCCCATATGCCCTTTCCAGTCCCCCCATCAAGGGGAAGTAGACTTCATTCCTTCTCTTCTGGAAGATAAGAAATGACCTATGTTTAGCTGGTGAAGAGTGATGTAATACACCTATTTGAATCATGTAATGTTACTTTAAAATCCATAGGGTAAGTGGTAATGTTCCACCTTCATGAGTGCTGCCACAATTTAAACACCTAACTTTGATTTCCACAGAACCTATTCTTCAGTGGAAACTTGGGGTTAAAATGAAAAAATCAGACATTAATAGATTATATCCACATGTGATAGATCTCAAGGTGACAAAATGCCCCTGTGCTAATGATGTAGCATTACTTGGCTTCATTTTGAATACAACATATTATGGTAAGTTTATGGCTTTATTTAATGGTAAAGGCAACACTTTATGTTCTATAACAGTGATGTTTAATGGCTTGTTGTTGTTAAGTGCCATCAAGTTGGCTCCGACTCACAGTGACCCTATGTACAACAGAACGAAACACTGCCCTATCCTGTACGAACTTCACAATCCTTGCTATACCTGAGCCCATTGTTGCAGCCACTGTGTCAATCCATCTTGGTGAGGGCCTTCCCCTTTTTCTCTGACCCTCCACTTTACCAAGCATGATATCCTTATGCAGGGAATGGTCCCTTCAGACAGCATGACCAAAGTAGGTGAGATGAAGTCTGGCCTTTCTCGTTTCCAAGGAGCCTTCCATCGGCACTTCTTTCTGGACAGATTTGTTAGTTCTTCTGGCAGTCCATGGTCCTTTGGTATTCTTTACCAACACCACAATTCAAATTCATCAATTCTTCTTCCATCTTTCTTATTCATTGTCCAGCTTTCACATGCATTGTTGTTGTTGTTGTTATTTGCCGTCGAGTCGGCCCCGACTCATAGCGACCCCTCCTTGGGTTTCCAAGGCAGTATCACTATGGAAGTAGGATTGCCCAACCTTCCTTCCGAGGAGTGGCTGGTGGGTTCACATGCATATGAGGCTATTAAAAATATCATGGGTTGGGGCAGGCACACCTGTCTTCAAAATGACATCTTTGCTCTTTAAAACTTTAAAAAGGTCTTTGACAATACATTTGCCCAGTGCAATACGGTCATCCAATTTCTAGACCGCTGCTACTATTGATTGTGGATCCAAGTAAAATGAAAGCCCTGACACCTTCAATCTTTTTTCCATTTATTATGATGTTGCTTATTGGTACAGTGATGAGGATTTTTATTTTCTTTATGTTGAGGTATAATCTATACTGAAGGCTGTAGTCTTTGGTGTTCATCAGTAAGTGCTTCAAGTCATTTTCACGTTCAGCAAGCAAGGTTGTGTCATCTGCCTTGGTAAAAGAAATGACACCACCGACCTCACGATAGAATTTTGCAAGACCAACAACTTATTCACTGCAAATACCTTAGACACAAAACAAGACAGAAAAACTATATAAATTTACTAGTTTGTGAGGCTAACTCAAAAATCAGACTCATAAAAATATCACACAGTACAAACACAAAGGGTATTTTTTTTAACTTAATTTCTTTTGCTGGCTAGGGACCTAGTCTTTCTCTTTCTCTTTCTTTCTCTCTCTCTCTCTCTCTCTCTCTCCTTTTTTTTTTTCTTTTATTGTGATGAAAACATACACAACAAGACATTTGCCAACATAATGACTTCCATGATTATAGCCCAGGGACATTGATGACATTTTTCATGTTGTGCCACCATTATTGCTATCCTTTTCCAAAATATTCCACCATCATTAGCATAAACTCAATGCCCCCTGTGGTAGTTCAGTTTGTGTGTCAACTTGGCTGGGCCTGGTTGAATGGCTGGGCAGCTGAATGTAGTATTCCCCATGATGGGACTGGTAATCAACTCCATGGTGGAATCTACTGTGAGCAACTGTGTAGCTGCCTTAGGGAACGTGGTCTGCTTCCTGTATATAAGCAGAAGCCTTGGGAATGGTCTCTAGCTTTTGGCACACTTGGACCCTGCATGTAGCCATGTCGTTGTTCATCAGCCTGCCATGCTCTGCCAACCTTGGGACTTACAATGAACTTAAGTTAATGGCCTGCTGTGTGGTTTGGTAACATTGGGACTGTGCCTTTTTACTTGTCAACCTTGGGCTTCTCAGCCTCAGCAGCCAGCAGCTGCTTTCACCCAGCCCCTAGAGCCTGGCACTTTGAACTAGAACTTAAAGCCTCCAAATTGTGAGAAAATAAACTACTGTTTGTTAAAGCCATCCCATTTGTGGTATATTCTTGTCAGAGCAACACTAGGTAACCAGAATATCCCCCAAACAAAAGCTTCCCCTCTCCCCTCCCTCCTATACCTCCTATACCATTAATCATCTTTGGTATGTGTGTGTGTGTGTGTGTGTGTGTATGTATATGTGTGTATATATATATATATAT